ACGGTAGATACGTGTACTGTAACCGTGTGGATTCAACATTAATACTAATATTCGAAACTAAAGAAAAAATAACCGAGATCGGTCACTATCCACAGTATCAGAATCGACTCCATGGCGATCATTGCAAGATTTTTCTGTAAACGCTTCGCCCGGAGTACTTTTGTAGTATCCACTCTCGGTACTCTCCTGTCACGTGCGTCGTCTTATTCTCCCGTTAGAGCAAAAGGTTCACAGCGTTTGCCGTTCTCGATAGCAGCAACTGAGTTTTTGAAAAGTCGGGGTGCAGTCTTGCCGGGATGCTGCCTGTTTTCAAATACATGTGTTCCAACCGCCGGAAAATCAATGGCAACTAGACTTTTTTCTTCGTTGCAGAACCTCGACGAACAAGAGATGACAAGGGATGCTATGGAAATAATTAAGGATGCTATCCGGGCAGTTGATCCCTACACAGCCATTCGTTCAAATTTGGTGCGAGAACGAGATACATTGAATTTGAAAAAGGAGAGACTAAGATTTAATTTGGCAAAAGACTACGATGAAATTATTCTAGTAGCCTTTGGAAAAGCGTCATCTGCAATGGCCACTTCGGTACTCGAGCAAATTTTCCCCCAAAATGAGGTGGAAAGTAACGTCAATATTCCATGCCATGGTGTTGTCATATGTAAGGATGGTCATGTCACACAATACGAAAAAAAAATACTGAACAATCATGGGGTTGACATATACGAGGCCTCGCATCCTGTCCCGGACGACCGATCTAGCAAGGCTGCTGATGAACTCATGAAATTGGTCTCCTCGCACGCATCGCCCAGAACGCTCGCCATATGCTGCATAAGTGGTGGAGGCTCCGCTCTCTTCTGTAAGCCTGCACCTCCCCTCACCCTCGAAGACCTACAACTAGTAAATTCTGTTTTGTTGGCCAGTGGAATGGGGATCGAAGAAATGAATGTTTTGCGGAAGCGCTTGGAACACGGAAAGGGAGGGAGATTGGCTTCTGCTTGCTTTCCATCTCATATTTTAGCCTTAATATTATCGGACGTTATTGGTGATCCTTTGGACTTGATTGCCAGTGGACCAACGGTACCAGATACGAGTACCTGGCAGGATGGATTGAATATTGTTCACCAATACAACTTGCGAGATAAATTGCCCAAGGCGGTTATAGAAGTGCTCGAGCAGGGCCGAGATGGGATATTAGAAGACTCTCCATCATCAGACCACCCTGTTTTTGCAGGTGTGAAAAATATTTTGGTAGGGAACAATTCTCTCGCAGTAGAAGCTGCTTCTGATTCTGCCAAAAATCTCGGGTATAATCCCGTTATTTTGGGCACAGAAATACAAGGCGAAGCAAAAGAAATTGCGAAAGTATATACTGCTATGGCCTCATATATCCAAAAATCGCTTTCTCGACATTCAAAACACAAGGAAGGAATTCAAGAAAATATTGCCGATTGTACAGTTGCAAAATCTTTTCCCGTAGCTCTGATCGCTGGAGGAGGTACGTCATGATGCACCTCTAGATAATGCACTTAGTTCTGTTGTATTTCTTAGGAAATGTTCATATCCTAATCTACGAATTTCACTTCTCACCTTTCGTTTTGATCGCTCATTTCAGAAACCACTGTTTCATTACCACCAAACAGTGGTAAAGGAGGACGAAATCAGGAATTGGCTTTATCTGCAGCCCTGGAATTGGACTCGTTGAACTTGCGCAATGTGGTTTTAACCAGCGTCGGCACCGATGGTGGCGATGGACCGACTGATGCGGCGGGTGCTGTGGTGGATGCAACCACAACTAGCTCAACCAGAAGCCAGGCACGAGAAGCCCTAGCTACGCACAATTCATATCCATACCTAAATAGTTTGGAAGCCGCATCAAAAGAAGTAGAAAATCTCCCACCACCATTGATTAAAACAGGACCATCGGGCACCAATGTTGCCGATATCTGCGTCACTTTGATTCGACCACCACAATAGAATTTACAAGCCCGCCATTCATGCCCTTCACAATGATACACTCACAATTCATAAGGATGATGATATTGAACTTTATTGATTTATTAGTTTTTTGGAAGTTCAGAATGTATTCTTTGGCTGCTCTGAAATGCCAAACCAGGACTCGTAGAATCTCCAGTTACCGATGAGTCAGTCAGCTCATTCGTGTCTCCGTCGTTATCATTGTTTTTCTCTCTATGCCTTCTGACAAACTCTTCATATTGAGGATCACCCTTGAATGGCCGAGGACCAACTAACTCATGTACGTCGTCATGGACAATCGTTTCCTTCTCTAAGAGCATCTTCGCTACACTTTCCACCTCATTCTTTCTCTCCCTCAATAGGTCTAATGTACGCTGATAAGCCTCGTCCACTATAGTTCTTGCTTCTTCATCCATGGCATTGGCTGTCTTTTCCGAGTATGGTCGTTCATCGAACATAGCGTTGTCATCCTTCGGGAAAGCTAACTGTCCAAGTCGTGGGTTCATACCATACAGTTGGATAGTACTGTATACAAGATCTGTAACCCTCCTCAAATCGTCCGAAGCTCCTGTCGTAACTCTACCGAAAAATATCTCTTCCGCTGCTCGACCAGCCAAAGCCATGCACACAATGTCCATAATTTCTTCTTGCGTACGCAAGAAGACTTCTTTCGGGAGATATTGAGCAAATCCAAGAGCACCACTACTTCTTGGGATTATCGTAACTTTGAGGAGTGGATCTGCGTGCTCGAGAAACCACCCAGCAATTGCATGCCCGGCCTCGTGATATGCAACAATTGCTCTTTCTTCGTCGCTCATAATCTTGTTCGATTCAAGTCCTCCTATAGTTCGATCAGTTGCTTTCTCAAAATCGTCCATACTAACCGTATCCGCCTTTCGTCGGGCAGCAACAATAGCAGCCTCGTTACAGATATTGGCAATATCAGCTCCTGCAAATCCAGGTGTTAATCCCGCAAGCCTCCCAGCGACGTCGTCGATAGGATCTTTGAGAGTGATACCTTTTAGGTGCACTTTAAAAATCTCTTTTCTTCCCTTGAGATCTGGTCTATCCACTGTAATTTGACGGTCAAATCGACCGGGACGCGTTAGGGCTTGGTCCAGAATGTCCACGCGATTTGTGCCGGCCAAGACAACAACACCACTTTTTGTATCGAATCCATCCATCTCTACTAGCATTTGATTTAGAGTGTTTTCACGTTCATCGTTTCCTCCAACCCCGCCACGCCCACGTTGGCGACCAACAGCATCTATCTCATCGATGAAGATAATGCACGGTGAATTCTCTCTTGCCTCCTTGAATAAGTCGCGAACTCGTGATGGTCCAACACCCACAAACATTTCAATGAAATCAGAACCGCTAATAGAAAAGAAAGGGACTCCCGCTTCGCCAGCCACAGCCTTGGCAAGAAGGGTCTTTCCAGTTCCAGGAGGACCACAAAGAAGAGCTCCCTTTGGAATTTTCGCCCCAAGCTTTGTAAATTGTTCTGGTGATTGTAAGAAATCAACAAATTCCACAATTTCCTTCTTTGCTTCTTCGCAACCCGCAACGCTTGAAAAATTTACCTTCACATCTTCGGGCTTGATCTTTTTGTGTGTCGACTTGCCTACCTGAAACATACCTGAGGAATTCAAATCAAAATACAATCTTGTGAGCTCGGCATGTTGACAAAACCGACAAAGAAATAAAATTATCTGGAAATCTTCGTGCCATGAGAGGACATGAAATAATGTCCTAACAAATTTTCTTACCTCCCATTCCACCACCACGCCCGGATCCCCCCATTCCACCCATTGATCCTGCAGCAAAGCGCATGAAGTAAAATGCGGCCCCCATCAGTACCAACGACGGCAAAACGCTTAATACCTCTGATTTGGTCGTAGTTTCATTTGTATACTGTACCGGAATTTCCTGCATCGGATCTATTCCTACAGCCTTTTGTGCCTCTTCTAGTTTCTTTTCAAACGAATCAACGCTACCAATTGCAAACCGATAGACAATTTGATGTTGATTAGCTGTGCCATCGGAGAGATTCTGCATTCCACCGAAATTGTCGATAGTTGAGTCAGATGAATATTCACGTTGGATTTGTGTCGTCGAGTCATCAAACATTTGGTTTTTAGAGGTCCCCCGAAAATGTCGATTTTGGTGTTGCGGAAGACCATATGAGCCACGTTTTAAAAACACTTTCGCCATCGTTCGGTTGTTCGTCACAACGACCTTTTCTACTTGACCTGTCTCCAAAAGATAGTTACAGAAATCATTCCAGGTGATTTCCCGAGAAAAATCAGTCGGTGCGACATTGTCGTCATCGTTTCGTATCATAAAGTAAGTAAAACCAATCAGCATGAGCGTTGCAAGCAACGATGCGCCAGTGAAGTCCGGAGGCACGCCATTCCCTCCGTTTCCGCCTTCACTATTGTTTCGTGTGTTCGATCCGAAGGATCCAAACAACTTTTCATCTGATTTTTTTTCACTGGTGTCGTTGCCTTCTTTTTCTACAGCATCTGAATCTGCGTCGTCCTCATTGTTTCGTGGAGCCTCATTTTTTTCTTTGTTGGAGTCTGTGTCTCCGTTATCTTCACCGTTCTTGTCTCTCTTCAAGAAGTTGTCGAACCCTAGTCGAAAAAATTCCCCAAGTTACAACATACATTTAGAATGAAGAAATGATTGAAATACAAAGAAAACGAACGGTCCCAAAAATGGATCTTACGCCATTATTTTCGGTCAATRATTCTTCCTTACCTGTCCCCTTTCTTGGAATAAGCCATTTTGGACTTTTCAGAATTTCATCCATTCGAGCACTCCCTGTCACATTTTTTGAAAACGGTGATGACGAATATTTTTTTGTTTCTTTGCGACGATCAAGGTCCGTTCCTGGTGACAGGAGTGTTGCTGCTAGTGGGCTTGAAACGTGTTTGTAGTAGTATCTTCGAAAGAATAATTGCGTGGAAGGTGTAGACGAAGATGCCTTCAAGTCTCCCTTCACAATCTGCCTGTGCAAGAGCGACAGATTCTTCAAATGTATAGACATTGTAAAGAGGGCAAATTACATGAACTGCTCGACTCTTTCTCTGGTTTGATTTCCCTTTCCTGTTTTTCAACGATGCCTTGGTGCCTTCCTATCTCCTGTACCGGTTCGTATTTAGATCATGTTGATTCAGACTAATGACAGTATTACTGTATTGGGAAAAGGGAACGGAATACTCAAAAAAATTTACTCGAAAATTTGTTTCTGTAACTAATAGTACTAGTATGTACGTACAACTTGTAAGTATGGGTACGGAAAATATGGAAATACTACCATCATCGTCTTGAGGGAAACACGAGTTTGACACACCTTCACTTCATACAACGGCGTAGGCGTACCGGTAGTTCCGCAACCTACGCTACAGTGGAGGCAGCGAGAAAAAGAAAGAAGCACGAAGAATACGACGTACACTTTCATTAATAAAAGTAGGAGGAAGTACATACGTAATTTTTCGTTAAGAAATGATGGATAGTCAGTCATCAATGAGTCAGTCACGAAATCGAACCACTACGCGTTTCRTAACAATTGAAACCGGTATTGAAGTTATGAACTTTTGCTCGTACATCATGTACCAGGTTCTACTGAGGTAAAGTAGTTTTTTAAAAATGACCGCTGAATGGCCAAATCGATTCCCGGGGCCCCTCAAAACAAAAAATGGTTCCGAGGTGATTCAATCATGAATCCGGCCTTTCAATCATGAATGCCATCCAAAAACTAGCTCAGTAGAACCTCGTAGACTTTCTACCGCGACATTTTGAAGTTCTTCATAACTACAAATCGAAGTTTAGAACTTGAAATTAGTACTTTTTGCTCTTTTTCAAGACTGGTTTCAATTGTTACAAAACCCATAGTATGTGCTCAAATAAAGAATGTGGTTAATTTGGAAATTTCTTTGGTAGAGAGACTAGAGCAAGAAGARRTGGTGCTACTAGTACTACTAGTAGCTAGTAACAAGTTGTTGGTTCAAGAAACCACCATATCTTTTGTTTCTAGTATGGAGAAGGATTCCTCTAGTAGTAGCTGCTCTAGTAGTAGGGGTGCACCTCAAAAATGTCTCCAGTAGGGCAACCCAGAAGTATTGGGGTGCATAGTTTCTTAAAACCCTCTGGTGATACTAATACTACTACTACTAGTACTAGTCTCATCATAGAACTAGTAGAGGAGGACACATTGAAAGCTTTACTGTGGCTTTACACCAAGTCTGGTAAGCTGTTGTTGTATCAGTATACAACCTTGTGGAATTATTCTAGTAGTACTACTTCCTCCATCCAGAAATAGTTTTTCCCAATGACCATTTTGGCTGTCCATACAAAGAATGTCCCCAATTCACTTAATGGTTTCAATACTAGTATTATTATTACTACTAGTACCACTAATAGAATCAGAATAAAAGTCAACACATTTGCATTGAACATTTCATATTAGTTTGTTGAGTTAATTTCATCACAAAGAAAAAAAGCTGATGAAAAAAAAAATGATTACAACCCTGGGGTTGAACTCTTGCTGAGAATAGTGTGGTGTCAGAACATGTTCCAGGGATAAGTGCCCTGAGTTTTGTTTTGTGTACGAGCAGAACAACGATTTCAATTTTATTGACGTGGGAAAAACTTCACAGCACACTAWCGACGTTTGTGGTGCTACTTATAACTACAGTAGCAGTACGGTGCTGGTGATTTGGAGTAGATATTGGTCTATGGTAGTAAGACTTTTTTTAACGTCATCGACATCCGAACAATATTCTTTCCGAACATCGAATATCAAGGATGATGCAACAGGTCAAACGAATTGTATTACTAAGGATACATAACGGTATTCACGACTTGAACCCAGTGAAATTTATCATGTTGAGTCATAGAACTGGAGTTTTCTGAAACTATTCGGAACCCAGGCTGTCGTTTGAGACGTGGATTGTCCATGAAAACGGAAGAAGGATTTCTCGTTGTTTCTCCCCTGTCAAGAAAGACAAAGTTATCATCGAATGCTCTTGCGACTAGTGTAATACTATTGACGGTTCTATGCCGCAATCGATCGTATGCCAGTCATCTCTGGTAGGGATCGAAAACTAAATTCGATCATTCTCATTCGTGATATATCGCCTTTACCTTGTGTCCTCGCAACATATCGCTGGCAAAAGTCGTTTGGTTTTGAGGCCAAACCTACACTTGCTCGGCAGTTTGCCTCCAGCGCCAGCCACTGAAACGAATACTTTCCTGGTTTCTCCACTAAAACCAATCGGTCAATTCTCTACCTATTGACCTCGAAGTCAAAGAACAACTAATGTCTGTGTCCTGCATGATTGTGATGGTACGTACAAGTACTCGTGAATTCAAATGATGTTTCGCAAAATTGTTTGGTGATTTTCTCTCGCCAGAACTCGCGTGCATATCGACCGTTCCTAAACTCTTGTGATCGATGGGGATAGGGAGACGATGAAAAAGATACCATGCGAGTTCCTGCGAATGGCACGACAACCCATCACCACCACCACAATGCCGTTGAGATCGAACATGGTACCGGTAGTTGCAGAGTGATATTTTTTCKTTCAGCATTGTGAGAAAACGGGCGGTAGGAGTACCAGGTACCACATACCATCCCATTCGGAACGGTATCACGCGATCAAAATTATATGACGTGCTGCTATTTTGGCGATGTTCATCCTGCATTGCTGATATGAACGGCGGTTCTTTTCTGTTCTGATTTTTAATACCTATTAAAAACAAAATCAACCCTACCGTTTCGGCGCGCGACCGACTCGCTTCGTTTTACAAGAGTGCGCGGTCGTATAACTGTTAGCATTCCTTACCTCTGTGCTAACATTGATATCCTCATTTCTGTATGTAAGAATAAGACAAGAATAATGCGAGAATGTTTCCTTCCCGATAATCAATCGCCGAGCGCCGGGACGGCATTGAACGAAAAAAGCTCAAAAACTACGTGCACCGATATCGATTTTGCCGACAGGGATGGAAAAGCAAATTCTTCCTCAACTATTAAGAAAGGACGCACCTACTGTGAAAGAGCTTGTTCCGTAGAAGAGTATCCTCAAAACAAACCAACCCCACCATCATCTCCGGGTGGTACTCTGTCTACCGGCACATTATCTCTCTCTTCTTCTAACGGCACGTCCCACTCTTTCTGTGTCGAAGCTATTGAAGTTTCTCCTACTCGGTTACCGATCTCGCCTGCATCTCCGCCGTCGTCTCCGCCTCCGTCTAAATCCCAGGAGCAAGAAACGAACGCCGGGATGATCATTCATAATCAATACAGGAGTAGCTTCAAATTTAATGACATGAAGAGTAAGTCCGTAGACGACAAGACTTCGACGYCTTACAATCCAAACGATGTCGATGCAACCCAAGACGAATCATCTTCCAGATTCAACGGCACCGAGAAAAATAAAAAGAGCATGAACATGAATGCTGTCCCTACGAGGTCCGACAGRCACAACGGAGGCACTGGAAATAATGGAACGAGAGTATGGGTGAAGAGAGCAGCTTTGGAAGCTGTTCGAAATCCCCGGCTTTCTTTCAAGGAGAAAATGTCACGAAAACCACCCTTGACTTCTTTCAATTCCTCTTTCAACGCAGGATCATCCTTCAACGCTTCGATGTCGATGCCTGCAATGTCTGTTGCATCAGCTCCCTATCCTAGATCATCCTCCTTCACAGCATATGGGGGCGCGTCTGTTTCATCGTTTTCGTCGCAGCGGGATTTTGGAGAGAGCGACAGTGATATTGGTTCGATCGGTGTTTCACCCTATGGGAATCAGACTTCCACTCGTTTCACCGACCAATGGGGATGGACATCGGCATGTATGCTTGACTCGCCGGATGGAAACATCATTTTGCAACTCGACGAAGCCCCCATAAATTCGGCATCCTCAGATGCGTCGTCTTCCCTCGTTTCTTCGTCCTCTTCCACTGGCAATAACGATCAGACTGTAACCATGCCTGCGTCGGCCTGGAGCGACGGTGACATTGTCATGGGGAATGAGTACGAGCTATCCAATGACGGGAGCCCGATTTGCCCTGACGACTTAATTTCTCTGTCGAATTTGCACGAGCCAGCAGTGGTGGAATGCCTGCAACACAGATACGAAGAAGACAAAATATACACGGCTACCGGACCCGTCCTTTTGGCACTCAATCCCTTCCAAAATATCGACGATTTGTACGGTGAAGACACCATGAAGAAGTATTGGGAAAAATCCGAAAACCAATCGAAGGAAGACCTCCCACCGCACGTATACGCAATTGCGGATGAGGCGTTCCGGAACATGATGAGAAGCTTGGATCAATCTCTGGGAGCAGTAGACTCTCAATCATGCGATCAGAGTATTCTCGTCAGCGGTGAATCCGGTGCCGGGAAAACAGTAACGACAAAGTTCGTAATGAAATACCTGGCTGCCCTCTCTCAACGAGCTGGAAGTCAAAAGAAAGTAAAACGTGCCTACCAGAAGGTTGCCGACGAGAAGAAGAAAAAACAAAGCGCAGGTTATAGCAGCACCGCTACTAAGAATTACTTGCCATCAACATCATCAATATCGTCTGCACCGAGTTGGGTTTCCCGATCAAAATCGGGCGGACTAAACAACAAAGGCGGTGTTCGAAAAAGCACCGATGGTCTTTCCGATGTCACTTGTCTAGCTGGAACCGACGCCTTGAATTCCATCGAAGCGCAGGTACTTCAGAGCAATCCAATTTTAGAGAGTTTTGGAAACGCTCGTACCATGAGGAACGATAATTCAAGTCGCTTTGGAAAGTTTATTGAAATACAGTTTACTCGGACAGGACGCTTGGTTGGAGCTCAGATCGAAACATACCTCCTCGAAAAGGTCCGACTGGTAACACAATCTCTTGGGGAGCGAAACTATCACATCTTCTACGAGATACTCTCTGGAGGTGTGGGGGCGGATGAACTGCGAAACTATTTTTTGGCGTCGACTGCTTCTCCGGACGATTTCAAAATCACTGCCAGTGGCACGCTCGATCGTCGCGATGGGGTCTCTGACAGAGACACTTGTGCGGCGCTACAAGCGGCTATGAAGGCGATGAAGTTCTCTGTCGATGAACAGACAGATGTGTTTGCAACAGCTGCTGCCATATTGCACGCATCGAATCTCACGTTTTGCGATTTCGATCAGTACTGTCAGTTGGACGGTCACAATGTTCACTTAGAACCTGTTTGCCATTTACTCGGTGTTACGGCAGAGGATCTGAACCAAGCGCTCTGTCATTTCTCTATTACTGCAGGAAGAGAAACACAGGTGCAACAAAATTTGGATATCGATAAGGCCGAAAAGGGTCTGGAAGCATTACTCAAAGCAACATATGGAGCTTTGTTTACTTATTTGGTCAGACGAATCAATGATTCCATATGCTATTCAGATGAGAGTGATGCTTCGAAGGACGCACCATGTGCCGCGATTGGAGTCTTRGATATCTTTGGGTTTGAATCTTTCAAGACAAATTCTTTTGAACAACTCTGTATCAACTATTGCAATGAAGCTTTGCAGCAGCAATTCAACGCCTTTGTTCTAAAAAACGAACAGGCTGAATATGAGCGCGAAGGCATTGAATGGAGTTTCATCGAGTTTCCTGAAAATCAAGACGTGATTGACTTAATTGACAAACGCGGATCAGGTATTTTATGCATTCTTGACGACCAGTGTCGTGCTCCTGGAACATCAGATAGATCCTTTGCACTTGATGTCTACAACAAGTGCAAGCAACAAACAAGATTTAGCGCAAATCGGAAACAAACTGCACTCCTCCAGTTCTGCGTCAACCATTACGCTGGACCTGTTGTATACACTACTACTGACTTTGTGGAAAAGAATCGAGATGAGCTTCCGAAAGAAGCTACTGAACTACTCCATATGAGTTTCAACCCTTTTATTCGCTTGCTAGCGAGTCTGATGGAGAATTCATCGGAGGAACGTAGTCTTAACACAAGTTTTTCTGATGGACTAGGTATGAAGAGTCGTGGTAAGGGGTCGACTGTTGGAGGACAATTCCGACGACAATTGAAAAGGTTGCGAGAAAAAATCGATGTAATGTCACCGCACTATGTCAGATGTCTCAAACCAAATGATCAGCTTGTACCCGACAACTTTGATAAAGCTGCGATAGCCGATCAATTGAGTTGCGGAGGTATTCTGGAGGCCGTCCGTGTCGCCAGAGCCGGTTACTCAAATCATTATTCCCACGAAGATTTCCTTCGCCGTTACAGGTGCTTGGGCTGGGACGCATTGAAAACTTCGAAACCGCAACAAAGAATCGTAGGAAGCGTCCAGCCAAGAAAGAAGTTTTTCTCAGGAGCGACACATAACCCTGCACCAAGTAATGACAACTCTTGTGCCAACAAGTCTACTGCTTCCGCCGGATCCTTGTCCTCCTGTACGACATTGGTAAAGCACTTGTGTTCATTGTTGCAAGAAGGCATGAAGAGTGATGATAACGACGAGAATGAGAAGAACAGTGCCAATACGACATCGATATCGGCAGCCAGCAGTTCCTCAGCACAAGCGAAAGTTTACAAACATCAAGTTACGTCCGCTCCTCCATCGTGGGGAAGGAGGGGAAGCAATACTAGTAGAGACACGTCGATCTGGGACAAAAAGGCGTCATCAGACTCCCGGCCTCCAGCAAAGATTGAAAGGCGTAGTTCCTTTTCGAAGAACATTGGTGGAACTACTTCCGAATCGGCACAGCTTGGAGTCCAGATGGGAAAGACTAAGGTTTTTCTGAGACACAAGGCTTTTGAATCGTTGGAGAGACTACGAAGCCGACAACAATCCAGAGCTGCCGTGAGGCTGAATTCCGTTTTTCGAATGTATCTTGCTCGTGTCGCTTATGTTCATGTGCGGAACGCCGTCCGCAACAGCATGGCAGATCTCCAGGCTTTGCAGAGTGAAGATTGGAAAGAATCTCACATGGAAGAGCATGATGATGGCAGATTAGTGGAATTCTATAATCGTTTGAATCAAATGCGTCACTCATTTGGAGGTCAAAGCTTTTCTTTGGTTGAAGCCTGGGCAAGTCAAATGAGACAGAAAATCCATAATCCTCTTCCTCGAAGTGAATGGGGCAAAACCGCACCATCAAAACCATTTAAATGGATGTTAGAAGATGGTCTATGGATCAAGAATCATGATCTCAGTGACGACAGTTCAAATGAAGACAATTTCAGTGACGGCAACCTATAGAAACATTAAATCTCGATAGAGTTACTCCCGAAGTATGAGTTGATAACGATAACAACCATGCCTTGCAAAGCCCGATGCATTTACGATGATTCATTATTTATATTTTCAAGAATGACATAAAATAAATTTGCTACAACGAAATGTAAACCATAAGGATCGACTGAGCCTGACTAGAAAAACATATAATATTTTATGTTTTACTACTACTAAAGAAGCTTCAGTACTTTAAGAATTTGGTTACAATCAAATCATTTTCAGCTCATCATGAACGCTAACTTTTGCAACAATGAACATCGGACTCAAATAATTCAAAACCTACAGAGAATGCTCGAATGCTTGATCTTCCATAGAAGCAAGAGCTCGAAGCACATGAACCCTTGCAATCTGGCGTCGTAGCCAATGCGTTCTTGGTGAATGAGGATCTCGGTGTTCTTGGCCATCATTCTCTTCGTCATCGGAATCGACATAGTGGAAGCCGAAAACACGTCGATTTGCATTGTGATAATGATCGTCATCATCGGATGAATCGTTGCTAAAGGATTCATCTTCTTCATCATCATCCACATCCTCATCGGTATTCATCTCTCGATCATCATCCATGCTATGGTCGTCGACGTCATTATCTTCCTCGTCGCTGTCCTTCATGTCATAGGATTCATCTGCATCTTCTTCGCTATCTTCTAAGCCAGTGCTCTTTCCACCATGTGCTACACCTGTCGTGCCTGCAGCCTGATTATGAATAGTTCGAGTACAAACACCACCCATTGTGCAGGGTTTCGCATCCCCGTCATCACTTTTCGAAGCAAACGCAGTCGTAGAGGCCACAGCCTTTTTTTGCTCTTGGTCATACTGCYGTTGTGCAAGGATGAGCCTTTTTCTTGCCCTTTCTAGCTTCCTTCTATCTTTCATCGTATTTGTGCTGTCTTCGAACCAATCCCATGGGCACATATTCAAAATATAATAGATGGCTTCGTCGGGAAGGGCGCTTACTGGAGATTCCCACCGTCTTTGACACAAAAGAAGCGCTCTCGTTCCATCTTGAAAGCGAGTTCCAAACTTGGGCGACACCTCGGGGTTCCAGAGTTTGTAGACCGTCCCGTAAGCCAACCGTCCGACAAATTCTCGTCTATCGCGCCAGGCATTACCCCAACCCCATATAGGATCTTGCCCGAAACAAGTAGTGGAAACATGGGCTCGCCCTGTCAAAATAGAAAGTTTATCATCGTTGTACCGCCGACCAGAATCTCCATAGTATGAGTTATCGTAAACGATCGCTTGATCTCCAGGAAGGGTTGAATGGATATAAAATGCACGCATTTCACCCGGTTTTAGACGCACGGGTTCGTCAAAAACAAGCTCGGTGTAATGACCGCGTGGACAGGGTTTGTGCGTTCTATCATACAACTTTGTCCATGAACTCGGATGCAATGGAATGCGGTAGTCGTCGTTAGCTACAAAATCTTCACGTCCGCCTCGGCGACGTAAAACATTTCCGGGGCGCCTGCTGCTACGATGTCCTTTCCCAACATTTGCGTCAGCATTGCTCACCCAAACGGTAAGGGGACCAAGGTGTCCACGAACAGCTACAGAAGTAATGACCAAGTGATCTATAGGCAAGAGATCTTTGCATTTTATTGGGAACATGATACCGCTATGTCCATGTTGAAATTGCATGAACAGAAAAGAAGAGAGATAACGTCGTCAAAAATCGAAAAAGAACATGTCAGAATAAATGAAGCCATAACCTGTTGATTGCAGGAAGAATGTCCAATCTGCGTCTTCTTTTCTGTGCATGTCGACGGAATGTCTGAAGCCGGCCGGAAAACTAGATCCRGACGCCAGAAATATTGAATCTAGATGTCGTTCATTTTCAACGTACCAGAATGTATGGTCTTCATTGTCTGAACAAAATGGTTCCCAAAAAAACATGCACAAAAATTGAATGCTTGTCAGAATCAATGCCACGAACAAACAAAACATATGGAGGGGAAAGTTTTTCAATTGGCCAATCAAACGAACGACCATGAATGAATGATAGYCCGCGCATAATGCTTGCTCATCTCGGGCGAATTCAAATTGTTCGCAACTTACCAAGAGTATCCACTGTCACATTTTCATGAACTTCATAGGTGGCGCTCTTTGGCCGAATCAAAGCTGCCATGGTTGTTGATGCAAAGCTAGATAGGTTTGCGCTTTTTTGCCACGAAGCTTGCGAATCTGATTTCTTCGAGCTTAGAGAAGCTGTTCTGTGCTGGTTCTGAAAGAAATACCTTGTAAACTGCCGTGCGTACCGGTAGTGTTATTATGGAGGGAATTATGGACCTTGCCCGTGACACAGAAAAAGTGTTTTGCGACCAGGAGTGAGTACCCGTACTCGTCATCGTACGTAGTGCGAGTATACAGGTGCGAGTAACATATATATGGAGAGAGTTACCGTACTGTAGATCCCTCCTGCATAAATTTTCTTCCAAGATTTTTATTTCCTACGGTATTGTACGGTACGGCAGGTTTCTAAGTAGTCTCTTTAGTTTCTGCGACAAGAACTCTTTGTTCGACTTCAGTACTCTAGGGTCGGTGCTACTACAGTATTCTCGTTGAAAACCACCGAAGAGCATCTCTTACGACCTACGGTAATGTATGAACCTCTCAGGGCTATTGTAGAGCTGACAGAAGTCATGAAGAATATGGAATATCTTTGTATTAAGACGAAAACGATACGGTAGAAATATGTACAGAACTCGTCAACCTAACAAAACTACGTATCATACGTATCGTATGTACCGTACATATCGGGTGGGAACAAAAATATACTTGATCCATCCATCAATGACTGTCCCACAGCACCTCTATGACTGCTGAAATAAGCTCAATATTGGGCCAATTTGAATGCTTCTTGCTTCTTTGCTCTCTTTGATCTGATCAAGTAGAATGCACATGTATTAAGTGCAACAAGGGTATGGTATTGCTCAACATCATAGTAGTACTAGAGGACTTCTTACTAGTACTAGTACTAGTACTAGTAAACAAAGAGATGAGCTGGTGTTTTGACATAGTATGAAAGAAGGTATCGTTCAACATCATAGAATTAATCAAAGAGAGATGCTTTTAGTTTCTGRATTTCATTTTACCTGTTGAAATGTTTGACTGGTCATTTAAAGACATGAGTTGGATCAATACTAGTAGGAAGCTACTAGTAGTACTAGTAGTAGTGTTAAGCACTTTATCAACTGGTGGTAAGAAGTGCTTGTTTCAGGAATATTCTTATGCAGTCATAGTGGGTTGCAAAGAGGAGCCAAGCATGCACATTTCAAGAAGTACAATGAATAATTTTATTAGTAGCCAATGTGAAGAAGAGAAAAAAGTGCCATGCACATGGTGCAAAATTTTTCCCCTTGTTGTTATTTTCATGTGAATATTTCACTCTTGATTTTCTTGTTGCACCACCTGGTTTACTCTTCTTGCTTTCTATTCAACTGACTAAGACCAACTTCTTCTTCCTCTCAAGAACACCTCCTTTGCACCTCAGGTGTCTTAGTGATTGCATATCACCTACAATCCTGGTGATGGGGGAGGTGCCACTACTAATATGACACGCTGATAGGGGAGTTGCTACTCCAACACGTCCCCTGGTGCCTCCACTGGCTCCTCTACTAATAGGAGATCCACATGAGCATCTCTGTTGCTTCCATTCATAGATCCACTGACTTATGTTGCACTTGGCACCTCCTCTGTTGCTTCAATTCATAGGGAATCCATCAACTTGTTTTGCGCTTGTTGGTGCCTGCTCTGGTGGTATTGCTTCCATTCATGATGCTGATAGGTGATCCATTGACTTTCCTCACCTTGCATCTCCAATATTGGTAGTAGGAAATCCATTGACTTGCTGACTTGCCTTATATCTCTGTTGCCTCCGCTAATAGCCCATTGGTTGACAGGGGATCTGCATAAACAATTAACCAAGAAGATACGATGGGTTGTCTCTTTGTGCCTTGATAGTATGCTGCTGCTTGTTTTTACTCACTTTCTCCCTTCTCCTTGACTTTTTCTAAAACAAATCAACAAACAGCAAGATGATAACTGATGCAATTGAGCTTCTTGAATTTAGTGATACTCCTGCAGCAACAGGCAGGAGGTGTTCATTTGGTAAGGGATGAACATACAGCAAGCAATGATAGTGAAAGCAATACAGCAAGTGATACAGTAAGAAATACAAGAGATGCAGCAAGTGATACCACTACTAGTAGTCCAAAAAAGAAGCTCAAGCTTTTGAGTCACAATGAAAGAATTCTAATTGTTCATTTCCCCCTACTACAAAGTCTAAGGAGTAGTGGTGGGAAAGACACACTTTGTAATTACAGTAATTTTAGGGGTCCACAGTCTTCCACAACACAAGAGTACAAATTACAAGGAACAAACCTTTGTGTGTGGTACAATGAATCTACTGTAATATGTAATGCATACACTACTAAAGATCACAAAGAACCTCATTAAATAACAACCACCAGCACAAGGAGGAGGACCTGTCTCACCCTCCAGATAGAGCTATAAGAAACACTTCTCTACCACAAATACACCACCACAATAACAAGATCTTCATTACAATAAGAACAAGTGGATCTGGTGGAATATGCAAAATTGTTTGGCTGAGTTGTTTAAAGGATATAGCACTGTAACAAAAAGTGAGCAAAAAAGGGCTTAGAGACATTGGTCACAAGTAGTTTTTGGGTTACATTTGACACTTAGAGACAGGTTGAGATACGGGCGACAGAACCCAAATGAGGTGTATCATTCTCTGTGTAGTAGAGCCATGTAAAATTTGTACCAGTTTTTGCCTGTCCCGCCCTCACTAGGTTTTGTTCATCCTACTTCCTCCATTCCCAAATAAACATAACATCCTTTTTAACTGTGCTGAARGTATCCTCAACTGTGTTGGACTGTGTACAATTTGTACAAGAAAATATACTTACCACTATTAATGCATTAACTGATTCTAATTCAGGATCACACTGCTACATCTTTGTACTTCACTTTTCAGCTGTGGCCTCACCAGCTCCTCTGGCAGCAGAAATTTCTACTAGTAGCAGTTGCTGACTTGCCATAATGCTGCTTAGTAAAATGCATGAATCATAGAAAATCTACCAGGGCCTACAGAGCTCAATGTCATTCTACTCCAATGATGTTAAAAATTATTCATACTAGGAGTGAACAATGTATTCTTGTTAATTTGAATCTGAGCCTTTTTTCTTTCTTGGAGTGCCTTATCCTACATAGATCTACATGCTGAGACTTTTTTCAATTAATAGAGGAAACAGTGTAATAGGACAATTACTGCTAGTAGTACTAGTAGTAGGTACTAGCATTACTAATAACTGCTGCTGCTCTGGAATGGCCTTCTTGTTCTGCTTCTTCTTGTTTAAAATGTCTCCACTTTGGAGATATGTTTGTTAGTCAGCATCATACTGTTGGAAAGAGGAGTACCCTCCTGTGACATTTATACATAATTATAGGCCAGGGGGAGCTGCTTGCCCATTAACAGCCTGTGTGACCAAATTTTGCTGTTAGTACTATCAGCAGGAGAGAAGAAGGGCTCCTCCTGCTGGTGGTGTCATGTTCTTAAAGAGAAATACTACTAGTCAGAATTTTAGTGCTATTCAAAAACAACTCTCCTACTAGACCACCAGCAGACTTATCACCCAGTCCAAGTTATTGCAACTACCTAAAGATTGGTGCCATTGGGAGGCCAAGGAATACTCTAGAGGCTAAGAAGAACTAATAGTCTGGCAAAGTTACTACAATAGTATGGTACTACTAGTACTGCTGGGTTGGGATGGGGTTGCCGTGGGACGCCACAGTTTTTTTACGAACTGTATTTATCTCGCGCCACGACTGGATGCTCACGTTACTCATTAAAAACAGATAGACCAACGGCTTTTTCGCAAGGTGATGTGACACGAATTTAGAGCTTCATTTTCGTCATTCACTTCATTCCAGCTTCGCCAATCAAAGGAGGCAAAGAAAAAACGATGACATTTCCTATCGCAAACATCACATCAAAAGCTGTTTCTTTCCAGTCACAATCTTCATTCACAAAATTTATCGTGTGTTCTTCAGACGGCATAAAAGAAGAAATTGACTCACTACGACACAATAAAAATTGACAAGAATGATCTATCAAAACCAAATTCGCTTTTGGTKGATCGTTTCTGTTGTGATTGTCGGGGGTTGCCAATCACTTGCTCTATTGACTTCGCGGACTCTGAGCTCGGTGGTCTACCATCCTCTTCCCAGTGCAACGTCGGATAGAACTTTTTATTATCTTCACTCATCTAATCCATTGTACTACAATGATGGTTGTRAAGATTTCGGGCCAAAGCATAAAGTGGTTGTGAAGAACCCAAAGATTGCAAAAACAACACAATCCTTTGAAGACAATGCTTCGTCGACTTTGACTGCGGTATCTATACCACTTATCAACTACATTTGCGTTAACCAAACCATTCTGTTTCTGATGGCCTCTTCTGTCGCTCTGGTTGCTTCTTTTTTTGGAGATAGCCCGTTGGAGATGTCTGGTCTGCATTGGAATAATGCACAAGACTTCCATTCACTGTTTGACTGGCAACCGACATCGTTTCGCTTGACAGAAGGAATAATTGCAGCAATACCTTTGATTGGYCTTGGGAGTCTTATCGAATCTTCAGATAATAGAAGCGCGTCAAAGATGAATTTCGCTACCATAGATATGGTGATTAGTCTATTTGGGAGACGAAAGTCAGAAATGGAACCTACAGCGTCGGCGTCTCTCCAAGTGATGTTTCTATCTGCATTGATTGCAATTTCGTCTGGTGTTTCAGAAGAAATTATTTTTCGAGGATATATTCCAACAGTAATGTCATCCGTAACAAACTCTGTTCTGTTGGCTCTTTTCGGACAGGCTGCTCTTTTTTCGATCGGACATCTGTCTCAGAACGCACATCCTGAAGAAAACAAGATGAATTTACTGATTCAGTCAGTCATCGGTCTATGGTATGGTGCCGTCTACCTCATAGCCGGAGGTGATATCCTTCCGTGTGTGATAGCACATGTGTTATATGATATGCATACACTCTGTGAAACATGGACTCAAGTGAATAATCAAATAGATTACACTCAAGAAAACTCGATGAAATGTTTCATCGAAGACGAAGCTCATGCTGCGAAACTTTTGGAATCAGAAACCGGGATCAAACTCAACACAGAGACAATCAATTTTGCCAGGCATTTCTTCTATGCTTTTGATAATGATCATGTAGGGAGCTTATCTTTGTCGGACTGCCAACGAGCAGTGAGTTACGCTTTCATGAACGACGATATCACCCCAGAACCCGTGGTCGTTTGCGACTTATTTCGACAAGCCAGGGATCGAAGACAGGACGACGATCGAGTGGTAGATGTCCACGACCGATTAAGCTTCTCTGAGTTTCTTCATGTTTTATTTGTTCTTCGGTCTAATTCGCGCACTTCTTATTCTCGATGACCGCTATGTATATATTGTATTTCTGCCATCCAAAAGGCCCGCTCGTTCATTGGTTTTGGAGTCGTTCCAAATTGTGCATGTTGACGGTAATTTCTTATTACTAGACAATCTTCAATTACTTTTTTACTATTCATCCMATTTCTAATCTTCATAGCAGTCTGCACTAGTTTTCCACTTGTTCTGTGTATCATCCAGCCCGATAGTATTTGCTGTAGTTTGTTCCCTTTGTATCATGTGCATTGTCAATACGCATGCATATTTTCGACGCTAAGATGGGTTCGAATTTACAGTTCAACGCACGCAGTTTCTTTTGCTCCGAAACYGGTCACCAACTTCTAGCATATCGTACTTCTGGGAGTAATTCTTGTAGCCTGGTGACCCGGAAGCTGCCCGCATGGCTGAAATGGTAACAAAAATAATTTTAAATCATCGAAACAATTGTTGCAATCTTGGGGTAAGGTTGAACGAGAATGAACGTTGTTTGCGATCAACGGCACTTCAATGAAGAATGGTAGTTCACTTCTTTTTATTCTTTTCATTTCCTTGTTCTGGTTTTGCTTTGGAAGTGCCTTCCTCTACACGATGCTTTTGGATCAAATCCAAGTGCTCGCATAAATGTCTCGCATTAGCCTTCTTCGTCGGATTGCGAACCATCGTACGAAGACGTTTCTTCGCGTTTTGAATATGCGTCTTATAATAACATCGAATTCTGTCGCGAAGACTTTTATCACAGAAAGAATCAGCGAATTTCCACTCTTGTTGATCTGCGACATCCTTTACAAGGTCAACCATATAGTTATTGAATGCTTGCTGCTCTCTTGATTGACATTGGTGTGTAGATAATTCATAATATTCAGCCATGTGTTTCTTTAAAACCATCTCTAGTGGAGGGTAGTGAGCCTTAACACAAAATATGGGACGATGGCCGGTTAGCTTATTTGATTTGTCCAAAAATATGTTTGGACGAATACCAAGAAGTAAATACAATTGATGGTACCAACGAGGTACAGCGCACTCACCCAAAAGAAACTTTTTTGAACTACGTGGCCCTTTCCCGGTAAAGTTTTAGGAATGCTTCTTGGATTTTCTCGTGCTAAAGCCATGCTTAGAAGCAACTTTTTAGCAATAACAGGGTCCGTGGTGGTATGTTCGGCAACTATTGCCGCTCTTTTGGCGGTAGCTTGGGCTCTTTCATTCTCTAGTTCGATCTTCTCTCTGCGTATTTTCTCTTTCAGTTTTTGCGTCTCACTCTTTCTCTGAACTTTTGTAGTTGAGCCTTTCGAATCTACTGGCGGCTTCTTACGCTTTTTTACACGTTTTGTTCTTGTAGGTGCATCGTTTGAAGCCTGGGAGGATACCCAATCCATGCTGCAGTCTAAACCCGACGCTTCTTGTTCCGTGATCTTGGCAACCGCATCTAACAGGGAACCAAATCCCTCATTTGGATAAACCGTTGTTTTCGGAATACTTATCATCGCAGCTACTGCAATGGCTTTATTAGAAACATTTTCATTGTCAATGGCATGGCCATTTGACGTCATAGCTGCAGCTTTATTCGCTTCCTTGATTCCCACTTGCGTGAGAAGTTCTAGACCAGAAATAGGTGTCTTCCTTGATGAATCATCTAATAATCTTTGAGAGGAAGAAATAGCTCTGGTAGCCCGTGCTGCCTCTGTTTTCTGAAATTGGAATTCGTAATCTTTATCCACGATGTCATTTCGAGGGGATGTTTTCGTTGACCCAACATGTTGGTCTTCTTCAACTTGTTTGTTGTCATCAACAGCTTTCAGTACTTGGACTCGATGCGACTGAGTTTTATGTCTAGCATAAAGTCCTTCATCGTCTTCGACCTGGGATTCTTCTCCTCCTTCTTCTTGAGTATGTGGCAGCAAACCAAGTCGTTTTGCTATTCCAATCGAAGATTCTGGTTGTGATCCCTTTTTCAAACCTAGGTCTTCCAACAAACAAGGCGCAGTGCTCGTCTCGGTAGCTTCTTCATCCCCTGAGTTATTACTATCACTGTGGTCGTTTCCGTGGTCCATGAGCTCTTGTGAGAGCATAGATTGAGATCCTGCCACCTCGTTCAAATCTCCATTACGATCAAGCATGCAGATATGGTTATCTGTTTGGCTCATGTGTCGCTGAAGCTTTAGATCTTGCTCCTCGTCGGCAGACGATTCCGATGATGATGCATCTCTTGGTGACTTAATCACACAATTAATTCCATCGCTGCTACTGACGCTATTTGTCTTAGGGTCCAAATATTCTGGAGTGGACGCTTCTGTTCTAGGCGTCAACACCAAGTCGTGATTGTACTTACTACTTAAACAGAGTTCGTTCTCAACATCTTCTGTCCCCTTCGTATTGTCGCCTTCACTTGCCCTAGCGAGGATAGAGTTCCCGTTTGACATATTTGTGGTATTTGTCGGTGATGTGAAAGACATCTCGCGTTTCGAATGTTTAGAATTCCAATTTCCGTTTTGTCAACTGTTTCATAATTTTCTTGCCCAAGAGCTTAAAGAGAGTGTCTGCCAACATGGCTTCACGGTTCACGGTAGATGCCTTGACGGGGTATGTTGGTGTGAAGTTTATCACCTAGATACACTTCCATATGCGTTTTTATTGGTCTGCCAGGCTCGTAATATCCAGGTTCTGTTATCATTGCTTTTGGTTCTATTTAGGGATAAGGTTTCRAGGTCTGAAAAAAAAGAGTACGAATAACAGAAGATTACGTACTCGTACCCTTGTGAACGAGTACCCAGTACCGTACGTACGTAGCCCTAGTTTCCCATCACTTTACCTAAAAAAATTACGAAGGCACGACTAACAACTACGGTATGAGGATCCTTACCACAGGTTGCAAGCGTACGATAACAAGGTTTGGAGACAGGGGTCATGACCCCTGTCTGAGACCTGTACGTACCATTACGTACCTACCGTACGTACTGAGCTCGGAACAAGATTCTTGGCTGCTCAATGTTTAATGTTTACCCTGCATAATACAGTACATTCGCTACATATGTGCTATCTACCGGTACTATGTGTTTTCATTTTTCATGCCTCAATCTCAGGGGCAGATCCCCTCAAGTTCAATACCTTACCGTAAAGGTTCGGTACTATTCTCCTTAAGGTCTATGTACGTACGTACCTACGTACTACAGATACGTCTCATCAGAAAAAGTACGAGAATGAGTCGAGTACGAGCACTCGTACAAGTGCTCCTAGTACCCTTCCTTCCTTATCGTACTTCGATACGGGTCCAGAAGGCGTGTCATCTCGAGAGACATCTTGTGTCGTCATCAGATCTGATCATCACACTCACCTTAAAACTTTTGTTAATGTATTACAGTACAGCACGTACGGTAATGTACCGACTGCTTGATTCTCTCCCTTCCTGTCGTTATTAGCATGACTGTTGCATCCTGACAACGATCACGCATAGATCCTCACTARTGTCTGCAAAAACAGATCGAACCATGAAATTCTCTAACAGTATCGCAGTGTTCGCTGTATTGACACCATCTGTCATCACGGCCTTCACTTCCTCTCGTATCGCCCAGAGTACGACAAGCATTTCTTCTTCTTCCCTCTCGGCCAGCCGCCGGGATGTTCTAGGCAACGCGTTTGCATCGGCAGCTGGAATGGCTTCCCTGATTGTGACTCAGGAAGCAAGGGCTGWGCCGCGTCCAATGTATCTGGCTGAACCAACGGACGAGTTCAAGGCAAACGAAGCCAAGGCGATGGAATTCAAGCGTGCTCAACTCGCGATCAAAAAAGAATTTAATGAGGTGATCGCAAAGTTCCTGGCGGAACCAAACGACGAAGCCGCGATAGTGGAAGATCTCAAGAGACTACAAAATCTGGTTGCCAAAACGGGTGGACTTCCTCTTGGCATCAAAAAGGACGAGCTCTTCAAGTTGATCCGATCCAAAAAAGGAAAGGGATACTGGCCGACTAATTGCGAAATTGCCTACCAGAGTTTGCAGGGAGAGATCCGATTCCAACAAAGCCCCAACATGGATAAGGAGATGGGAAATCCATTTCAATAGGCAAAGAAGTATCGTCGATTTCAAAAATTGGTTGTTGGCTACATAATAATTGATGGACCGATTTGATTCGTCTTCCTCTCCTTCACCCAAACGTCGGTATTTAATTCATCGATTTGTGACTATTGTCAGCATGCTCACACTGCACTGTTATTGAAAAATCCGATCGTTGCCTATTATCCGACTGAACATGCATACCGGTACGGTACAGTACGACGACGAGTGTTCTGGGTAGCAGTTTTTTTTGCGAAGAAAAAAATAAACAAGTAATCTTCAGGTACATTCCCTTGCCAACCAATGTTTGCTTGTCACGTCGTAATTTCACTAGCAGTAGTATGATAATGCTTGGATCGTTTTCAGCATCAGTGTAACATTGAAGTGCCTCACTAAGGTAACTGAATTTCACAGCAGCCTTGTAAGCTTAATGGTTTCTTCTATTTTGGAGAATTATTGGTGCTTGTTCTAGCCTTACCTGCAGTCAAACTATCCTCCCTGACATTTTTGATAGCATCTCTCAAGATGTGGAATATTAGAGAGCTTATTTGCCTGTAATGACATGTGAGTCTTCTTTTCCCAGCCTATCACCAGGATGTGACAAGAAAATAGACTTGTAGATCAACAGAGTGTCTACTTGATGCAGATTGTCCACAATTTGTAAATGATTGCCTTGTGAACTTAAAACTCTAACTCTAGGTAGACAAAGGAATAACCATTATTTTGTAGATGAACATCAAATGATCGCAAAGCCTTGTGTGCTGTTTTAAAACAATGATTCAATAGCTTATTTTTTATCTGAAAGCCATGTTTCTCTCTCAGAAGAAGACTAGCTTGTACCTTGCAAGACATATGTACAGCTACATCATTACTCATCTGTTTGCTGCTGCTTCCTCCTCTTTTTTAATACTAGTAGTAGTTGTACCATGGCACTCCTGTCTTTCTTTGATTTCTTGTTCCCCCTTGATCCTTCAATCTGGTTTCTTCTTCGTCATCATCATTTTCCAGCTAGTCAATTGTTGTTGGGGGTCGTGCTGGTGGTGGTGGCTGTCCAGTGAAAGAGAAAATCTCCCAGTAGGTTGTATCTACATTGTGTACATAGATCATCTGGTGGCACCTCCACAACACTCCTTGGGGTGAGATGCTGCCCCTTGGAGTGACTAGACCATACATCTCACGGATTTATGCCTCTGGTTGTCTGAGAGCCTCTCTTAGTTCACAAGTTTAAACACAATATTAAGATTTTTTAGTAATGCACATAGATCATAGGAAGTGCCTGACAAGACTGGATGAAAAGAGTATCAGGGTGACTGATGCAAAGTAGTACTCAAACAATCCCAGACAAGGCAAAAATCACCCAAAAACACCTGTTGTGAAGGTGATTCTTGTTGACAACAATCACAGTAGAACATTGTTACAATTATGTGCTGGCTTGAGATATCAAAAGAAGCAGTCACTGTTATTAACACATAGTACTATACAGTAACATCATATTTTATTTTTAAGGGGGGCAATTAGCAAGAAATACATGAAATAGAGACCAAGCAACAAAGAATAAATATATGAATGTTGATGTTAGTGGTAGCAAGTATTACTGCTGTAAATATAGCACGCCATCCTCTTGGCCATGGAGTAGGTGGTGGGCTCTGTGAGCTTTGTGAGGGAATATCTCTGAAATATAAAAGACTTACTTTCTGGACCACCAAAAACAGCATAGATCCTATGAATTCCTATATTTGAATCAGCAATTCCCAGAACTTGTTCTTCCTCCTGTAATATTTGCTCTTCACTCCTCCTCTCTCATCAGCAGTGAAATTTTTATGAGATTTTCTCTTTAACACTGATTTCCTTGTACTCCCAATGAAAGTTAAGATCCTGAGGACATTCACAAAGATTTGCAGGACCCTTGTCAGCTGGTGGGCATAAGAAGCAGCAATAAAACCCTAGCCACTTGCTGTCATTTCAGGCTCAAAGCAAGAACACGACAAAGCCTTCCCCAGAACCAATGCTGCTTGTTGATCCCCAAATAGCTAGTATATTCACTGTTGTGCTGAAGAAGATATCAATTCATCCATCACTGCAATTCCTTGTGCCTGTTTATAATAACAGATGCCTTGGAAGCAAAGAAGCTTGCTTGCAATATTGATATCAGGCCAAGCATGTTGGTATATTGTCTACTATCCTGCCATTTCTTTGTTGATTTCCATCTACTAATAGCTCGATAGTCCACATCATCCTCTCTTGCCCATCCACATCATTGCTGAGCATATGTTCTGGCAAACTTGCCAATAGAGTGAGTACCAAGCTTCCCTCCCAAATCTGGCCTGTCAACGTAAAGACCTCCTCATTCTTAAATGCATAACGTTTCATAAAATTCTTAGAATAGCTCTCCATGCCCATTTTGACTTCTTTGTCAGCAACAGTAGATCTTCTATCAATAGCTCCTTCAGTGAAGAGCCACTGACTGGAGGTGCCTGACTCACTGTAGAATTGTGTATAATCAGAACCAGAAATATCGTTTCATTAGAACATGCACTTATTTTACTAGTACTACTAGTACCATTGTGACTAGAATCACAAATACCAATTGAAATTGAAAAATAAAATCTTAATGTTATGTTTAACCTTGTGAACTAGAAGAGGTACTATGATGGCCAGGACCAGAACTTATGGTAGAAAAATGCTGCTAGTTGCTCCAAGGGGCAGCACTTCTCTCTGAGGTGTCTTTGGGACAGCACAACCAAGCAGGGATTTGAACACCCAACATAAATACCTATTGTCAGGTTGTAACCATCAAAATCATAGGATAACTCCTCATTCAAAACTAACTGAAGAAGGAGCCTTCATAGCACAAGAGAATTGCTTTTCCCATATCTGTTATTTTTGTCACCTCCAACACCAAGTGATGCTTCCATACAGCAAGAAGCCCATAGGGATGAAAATACATTATTCACTCACAAAAAGCATCATTGATGTTGGCAATCAAATGATTAACATCCTTAGGGTGTTTCTTGTCCTGCAAGCTTTGAATTGAATTAAAGAATCCAAGGGTGAGTATATTCATATCTGGACTGTTTGGTGGTTGAGTTGTTACCTGAATATTCCAACCTTTGCTTGCTACAGCTGCTGCAACATTAGCTCTGATAGAGGGCTTGTGCAGCATTACATTGTTCTCTTGGATAATAATCTCTGGATAGTCTTGGACATCAACCGCTCCACCAGGTTGTCTGGTCAGCCACTTTTCATAGATAGCTGGAGGTACTTACTAATCGCAAAGCAACATCTTCCTGTACACCTCACTGGTAAGAAGATTGTTCAGCTTCATAACTATGGTTCCTGCTTAATGGTTCACAGAAGTTTGTTTTGCTGGCTCTTTCACAACAAAGGGCCAAATACCAATCTTACCATCAAAACAAGCATTTCTGGTGGAGTCAAAGTGTGGTCTTGCAGTACTAGTACACAGAAACATGACCTTCATCATGTGAWGATTCAACTTTGATGTGGACTTTGGTTCAGTTTTGTCAGGAAGCAGATACGTGGTCTGCTTCATGCATTTCAAGTAGAACCAACTTTCAATGATATGAATCCATTTGAACCAATCTTCAAACCTACTACCATTGTCATCAGTATGTTGCAGAATCCATTCATCTCTTTTGAGTTTATTTTTGTCTGCCAGCAGAGTTTTTGTTGTTCCATTTTGCTTTTTAATAACCTCTTATCACAAGCAGGAGATGTAGAGACAACCTTGGAATGCCAGTTCTTACTCCTGTCTTAATTCCAACCAGCTTGGGAAAGCTGTCTATATTAAAAAAAGAAAATTATTTTATATTGATTTCTATGTGTTGCTGATATGGAGGATGCTGATATGATGGACGATGCTGGTGATATGGAGGATGCTGATATTGAGGACACTGGTGATATGGAGGATGCTGATACTACAGAGGACGCTGATACAGAGGCTCACTGATACAACAGAGGATGCTGATACAGAGGAGCTGGTGATATGGAGGATGATGCTGATATGCGCTGCAGATACAGAGGATGCTGAAACTACGGAGAACACTGGTGATACTTTTTTTCTATTTCAACGACAATTTTTGCTGTTGCTTAGATCTACTGGTTCTTCCAAAACACTCAGGCAATTGATCAACAACTTCTGTATCCTTTCCCCCTTACTGTAAGGATTAGAAAACTTGCCTTGTGAATGCGATTGGTGGGATATTGATGAAGAACCATAGAGGTGACAGCTTGCTATGCTGGAGGTTGTGTTAACAATGAGTTTTTTTAAATTTTTGGTGCGCAGAAAAATCAACAAGCTCGAAAAGGTTCTCTAGCAAGAAACCCATACAATATGCACATGTATCAAAAGAGAAGAGAAAACCCATTCCAACTGATGGATTCTCTAATTCTGATTGGTGCTTTGCAAGCGTTAACAAACAAGCAAAGATATCTAAAAATTGGGGCGTTTTATTGTACTCATAACCTGTTAGAAATCAATAGTCTTATTTCGAAATCAAACAAGTACTACTCGTACGTACTCGTAGTTGTGGGTTCAGTATTTTCAATAGTACAGTACTACCTGGTAACGCGTCGTTTCGTAACGTTCCGGCGTGAACATAGCTCGCCGGCCGGCTGTGCTCCTGCCGCCCGCCACACTATCGTGCAAAATTTTATTTTATGAATGACTGAATCAAATCGGGCATGAAAAAAATATCATCATTGCGACGACAACTCCTCGTACGAGTATTGGCACCAACGGTACGTACGGTACTAGTCCCACTGAAAGGCGATTATGAATGATGATAGTATTCGATTAGAACTCGCATTACGGTACGAGTTACTACTCTGGCCTCCCGTCTCCATCAAAAGCACTGTACCGTATGTGACTGACCCATCGGCACAAGTCGATTCTAGTCAAGTATCACCAACAACAAACATTCCCAATAGAATATACCGCATTTGATTGGTCTTTACCGAGTGTCGAAGGATAAGAACCAGAACGCGACAACACGACAACACGACAGCAACATACAAGACTGCCGCACACTCGGTGAACCGTAGGAAAGCCTAGCGAAACGATAGAYATTTTCTATACGAACTCGAACTCATATTCAAACAATGGATACAGCCGAACCACCCGTGAATGACAGCCAAGACTACGCTCTTCGTTTTGAGGATCTGACGGTCGATGATGACCTTCCGTTGCTGGATCGAATCGTTCGATACTGCCGATCCGGCATCGCACTGCAACGGCTGGTCCATGTGAAGATGTTGGCCGAGACGGCCGAGACAGTAGGGTGAGTTTCGAGTCTGTTGCTGTTCTGCGTTTTGTTGTGCCGTTGCATACCATCGGAACAAAGAAAATAGTATGGAAAGCATTGGTTGGCACGATAACATTCCGTATCGGTTCATGCCATCACATCCCATCCCTTGCCATTCCACAAATTTTTATTCATTTCTCTAAACTCTCCCAAAAAATTGATCTTTGTTGGAATACTTTCCATTGCACTGTTTATCTGCTCCAATTTCCGCCCTCGCTCTTCTATCCCGCCCTCTTCCCGTGTTCCGGCACCTTTCGAAACACTTCTCAAAAATATTAAAAATACGCAACAATTCACGTCGACTTTTCCATTGTGTTTTTATTCCGATCGCATCAAACTACACTACACCACCGAATGATTTGATCGAAATCCCAGGACAAAAGCCACACTGTCTACCCTGATTCCGATTTTGGGTTCCCTCGTCACCGATCAGGAGTCGGTCATTCGACAACACCTCGCCTCGCAGTTGCTGCCTGTCTCCCTCGTATCAATGGTGCGAAACGTAGGAACTGGACAAAAGCACTCCGTCGCCGACATGCTGGAAGATAAGACCCTGCCAAAAATATACGATTCCGAGGGGTACCATACCGTCACGACGGTGGTGATAGGTCAGTATCTGCAGGCATTAGTAATGGACGTGGACGTGGACGTGCGACGATCTGCATCCGATTCCCTGGCGGGGTTGGCGTTCCATGTAAGACGCGACGATGTCGGTTCGGTTATTTTTCCTATTCCCCTGCGGTTGACCAGAAACAAAAGGAACAAAGCCGACCAACAGCAAAGAGAAATACAACAAATAACAACCGATGAGTCCYTGGCAGAAGAACTGCGCATTACCGCGGCCAACTTGCTCGCCGAGCTGGGTGGAGCGGGAGAAAACGAATCCATTCCTAGATCTCTCGTCCAGGGCATGATCCTGCCCGCCGTCTTGGCTCTATGTCGAGATCCTGGCTTTCGCGTGAGAAGGGCCGCGGCGCAGGCCTTACCACGCGTGCTAGGYGGAACTACCGTTGAGGAATCAAAGAACAAGATCCTGCCCGCCTTTGAGATTCTCAGTAAAGACGAAGTTTACCGGGTCAGGAAAAGCACGGGCGAGTGCCTAGTCGACATGAGTCGGTCCATGATGATTCTGGCCAAAACGAATGATGCTTCTAGTATCAATGCTCTGCGACGACAAACGCTCCTTCCGATCGCCGAAAGCCTGCTGACCGACGCAAACAAATTCGTACGGCACGGAATGATGCAATTTCTGGGTCCATTTTTAGCATCCTTTTACCCATTTGTCTACTCGGCGCTGCGGACGATACTGCCAGGAACGTCCGAATCCGATGGGAGCAACCACTCGGGAATCGTTGCTCAGTTTTTCCCACATGCTAGCAGTATGGTGAGCCGGCTCAATTCGTCGGCCGCGGCTACAACCAGTGCCCCAACACCAACCCTGTCGAGTATTGGAACGAAACGTGAATTCACTCAGATTCAGGAACTGCAACGAGCTCTGCCGGTCTTTGTTAGGGTGGATCGGTCGTCGTCGGTTTCTCTCAAGGCCGTTGTGGCGCACAGAAGGAAGGACGCGCCCGATGCCGAGGATATTCGAGCCGTAATGAAGAAACTTCTTGATCATTTTACCGGTCTCGCAAGAGTCAATACTAATGATGACAACACCGACGCCGAAATGAGAGTGTACTGTGCGTACTCGTACCCTGCTGTGGTCCTCTTACTCGGACCCGACCATTGGGAAGGTCGCCTTAGTGATTGCTTCAAGACGCTGCTGAATCCAAGCTACGGATCCAAGAACAGGAATGTCGGGCCTTCGGCTCCTCCCCTCCCTGTGAAGAGATGTTTGGCATCAAGTTTACACACAATAGCACACATATTAGGCCCCGAGATAACAGCAAAAGATATCATGCCAATCTTTCGGGATCATTTCCTAAAAGACAACGACGAATCGGTTCGATTGAACATGATTCGGAACTTTCCCACGTTGGTCTCGCTTTTGGAACCCACGATTAGGATCCAATACATTCTACTTTGGTGTGAAACGATTCGAGGCGAAGAGGTTTTAGGCGCTATGAAACGTAGTGCTACGAACCCGTTGGTTTTGAATTGGAGACAGAGAGATTACGTATCGAGGTGTTTGCCTGATTTGATTGTAATGGTTGATGCTGTTTTTGTATACAACCATTTATGGCCTATTTTGAAGATACTTCTGACCGATACTGTGAACTTGGTGAGGGAAGATGCGATTTGGGCCATTCCATTATTATTAAAAGCATTTGCCGTTGAGAATGTGATTGATTTAGATGGTGGGTCTAGTCAAAAAGCAAAAGAAGTATGGAGTAATGGAGCCTGTCAAGAAGTAACGAAATGGCTGAAAGAGACCATACCGAAAGTGTCAACAACGAATTCGAAAGGAAAAAGTTCGTCCGGAAAAGCTGGGAACTTCAGCCAAAGACAGTTATACTGCCAAGTATGCTCAGCCATGGCCCTAGCTATTCGTTTAGGAGATGGGCTTGACGATCCAGATGACCCAGTTGTCGAATTAGAATCAAAACTCACTTCAACCTTGCAGAGCAGGTACTCGAAGATATTGATCGAGGAGCATGGACCCTATCGAAAGATCACGAAAGGTGAACGAAAACATATGTTACGTTTGCTAGCAATTGACATTTTGCCGTTAGCATTAGAATTTAAAGATGACAGGGTTACAAACGTTCGCTTAAGCCTCAGAAAAACATTGCTTTTGATGCCCAGTGATCTCGCGAAATCTTCGGCTTACCAAGAGGTATTGCAAAGTTTGCAGGAAGAAGTCGAAACTTGGGAGAGTTTTGGCGGTATTGAAAGTTGCCTACCACACGACCAACCAATGCACGCTTCAAAAAGTATTGTGACAAATCCAGACTCTATGACCGCGACTACTTCAAATGGCACCGATCCCACTGTAAAAGGCGTAAAGAAAAAAGGATCAAAACGAGACAAAAAGAAAGGTTCTGATAACAACGAGAGAGGTGATAATGGCATGGCACACATATGAAAATAAACGACCTAGCCGATTTATTTTGAGTTTGTCATCAGCCATTCAATCCATTCATTGCAATCCCCATCAAAATTACTACTGAAGATGTAGCTAGCAAAAGTTCAAATTGAGGCCATCTGATTTCCTGTGCAAAGCTAGTCAAATCGCAAATTTTACGACATAATGTAGTGTTCGTTGCCAAGACTCAAAGCGGAAAGCAATAGAAAATGTCGTGATATATTGCCATAACATGCATCTATCTACCGCTTGAATTTTGCTCCCACATTGTTGCAGTTTCGTCGATATAAGATTTCATTACGTATCATTTTTAATTTGGTTCATGATTTTGAGTGAATTTCGAAGATCGATTGATATATGACGTGACTCGCCTTCAAGTTGTTTCCACGGCAAGGCTCTTGCGTTTTGTAACCGGTTTATCTTCCTACAACACAAGAAGTCCAAATTGAATCTTGAAAACGAACATGGGGCTTCATGTTGAGGTACAGCGCACGATGTTCGAATACGACGCCCTCAAATCTATGAAAAGTTGAGAGAGTTGATTATCACCTGTGATGATATGAGGTACTTGCTTGTTGTCGCGGTTAGGTAATTGTAATCAACGATGTACAGCAAAATTCTATCGAGGAAGCCCAAGTATCAATTTTAATTTATATGTATCCTAGTCTATCAAGTGGAAGAACATACAGCATGATTGTGTCTTTTGAGCAAGATTTGTTCAGTCTCTAGAATGGATCCATTGCATTACGATAGTTTTGTTATCGTATCAATTTGTTGAAGTAGTCAAGTGAGTGAAACTCGGTATCGAGAAAAGATGGTTTTTCTGGAATGTGCCATTAAACCAAATGGCATGGAACTCAGTAGAGCATTCGTAAAGGCTCTATTTTAAATGTAATAATCCCATGAGATTAAACCCGTCCGATGACTCTTCTAGCTGCTGTCCCCATTGCAGCGTACAAGTTTCTCCTGATGTTCGTAGTTTCTTCAAGGGAAGACCCTCGTAGTCTTCGTCGTCGTCACTATCGTATACAGGGGATGCTCTTTTCAGAAGCATCATATCTTCTCGATGGTCATAATCTGACATATCGCGAAAAATGGAAGGCTTCACATCGTTGCATGGCTCTTCTCTAGACGTATACAATGATGATTCTTCGTGTGGCAGTATTGTCGATGTTTTCTCGTGTGTACTTCCCTTCGGCATTCTGATTGGCAGATCCATGTTTTCTGAAGTTTCATTATTCATAGAAAGCTTTTGAATGCCGTGTTTTATCGTCTTGAGGGATGGTATCGGCTTATTGAGCTTCGATGTCTGTGTATTCATAGTATCGTTGATGTTGATGATATTCGGATGTGTAAGAGGGTGAATTCGGTTGCGGCGCCGATTAGTATAAGCGCAAGTCAGRACGCGAGTAGGTGATGAGCAGTTCATGTTTGTAAATGGTGACAAAAGTTGTTTGGTTTGTATTGGATTGGGATGGCAAGAAAATGGTTTGTTTCAAGAGGTTTTCGTTTTATGTTAGAAAAGAAAAAAGTGGAAGAATCGGTGTTACCTGAAAACCTTCCTTTTTGTCGTACATTTTCGGGCTTGCGCGCATTTCAAAAAAAATACTTACCGACCCTTTGGAAACGACTCTTATGTTATTCTGCCGGGGTGAAAATGGCAATCGTCGAAGCTTTGATGCTTTGCTCTGCTGAAAAATTCCATTTTCATTTGCGACAGAATCTTGCAGAGTAGATGGTGTATTCATTTTCAAATTTGATTCAAGATTGTTAGTGATTGTTTCCTTGTAGTCCCTGATTCTCCTGCCGATTGTATTCTTCAGTGGTAATTTTGTGAGCGATGCGTCGGCAGATCACAAAAAATTGATGTGACCGATGATCACCCATAACGCCGAAAAAATAACGACTTTTTCGCCGGGCGACCTCACGAAGCGTACACTTTACGAAACGTTCGCGCGTTTTTTTGGTGGCATATGAAGTTTTAATCTGGCGAAGATGCGTTGTGGGATTGATTTCAGTTTTCTTTTTCTCCAACCGTTGTATTGACAGTTCGCATCGACTTAAATTGATCGTAAACGTCGAGTAAAGTGCTTGGAAACCGTTCCACGATTTCCCCATCACTCTGCTTGACATTTTTCTTCTTCGCGAATTCCGAAGAAATCATTCGAAGTAGGCCTGTAGAAAGGAACAAACAAGGAACAAATATCAAGGTTCGCATTTGAATCGTTTTGACGTGTCTGAATGTTTCTTTGCATGAATGTCTTGTTGGTGCATCAAGTAGAACAAAACGAAATAAATTTTGACTGCAAAGACCAACACATGCTATTGGGATGAATGTATGTTCTGAGGTGGTGCCTGTTAACTAAATTTAACAAACGGCACGAAAGTACAGTGGTACAAGATTTGAACGCAGTCCGTACTGGGATGATTCGGAGAACATGATTCTATGATATATTACTGATTGAATACGGATGACATCATGCCGGAGGCTAATCTGTTTTATTCCAAGAATGACCCACTGCCTTTCTAGCACAACTTGCATCTGGCAAAATCTATAGCGATGGACGGATCATTCGTCGTTATTGTACGGTCAATTTCAGAGTGTGTGTGGTAATTAGTTTGGGAGAAATGCATCCATCGGCTTCTTTGTTATTGGTAAACAGTCTCTCGGGCTCTGTTCTTAAAGAGCATCATGCATCTCAGCAATTAGATATGCGATTACACAAGTGAATAGGTTAACCACTATGTCACAAGAACAGAAAAGCCTCACTTGGGGGCACTCAAGTCTTTTACTTGGTATTGATAACCCTAAAGTGCTCCAAATTATTCGCGGTCTTCTTGTGAATAAGCAGAGTTACTTATTCATCAGCTTTCTGTATTTTAGAAACAAGAGATGCAAATTCTTTATCATTTTCATGATAGTACTTGACGATATCTCTCGCGTTTTGAGGCAATGCCATCATAGCACTTTCTAGATCGCCTTTCGTTTTCAAAACGAACAGGTAGTTTCGCAATATATGGTAGTCGATCGAATATTTTGCAAAGTTGATACCTTTTGGCCCTAATCGTTGCATACCAAATGCCATGATTTGACCTAACCATCCAGGCATCCCTTTTTCAGGCACCGCATTGCCAACCATTGCACTTACGATTGCATCGGAAGCGACAGTCGCAGAAGCCATTGCTTCATGCGATCCATCTCCTACGGCCCTTTCGCCCAAATTGAGTCTTGAAGCCTTGAGAGCGATGTCGACCATCTCTGCACCTCGTTCGTTACGAATAGTAAGCGTTTGGGATGATTTGTCCATCCGAGCAGCCTGACCACTTCCGTCCAAAGGTGCTCCCATGTAACCCACGACCACATCGGCCAGTGCATTGGTATAATCGAAACATGCCCTGCATGATTTTGCGATGGAAGCTTCGGCAATTGTTCCCGGTAGTGTAAAGTAGGGTTTTGTGACATATGCTTCTTTGGATTTGACGTGGACTTGAAAGTCTTGCATGAATTCATACCCCTGTACGTCACTTATTATGTTAGAATCGATTTGAACTCCTTCGCTGATAAAGTTTCGTGCAGCCTCCGGTGTCGGTGAGTTGTCGGCACAATTTGTTCCAAGAACATATACTTCTTCTAAATCTAGATCTGATTGAATGGCTCTGAAGGCCTGCACTGCGCATCCCACTCCACAAAACAAGAGTCGTCGAATTGTCGGATCGTTCTGAATCTGATCCAAGACACGTAGAGATGGAGCAAGTGCGGGCTTCACGCCTCTTCCTTTCAGGACATCGGCTGTGGTTCGAGCTAATATTGGTTCAGGAGAAGCAAAGTTGCTACCGTTACCAATGCTATCACTGTTAGCAATACAAACTACCGCGTCGACGTTTTTCGATTCGAGCATGGACAGAGCGATTCCCGTCACAACACCAGTCCACTGTGCGCCGTCGATTTTATTTCCTTTTGCCAACCGAATTGGTTCGTGCAATACCCCGAATCTAGCTTCGTCTGCTTTGTCAGTTGCAAACAAGGACTGTGCATCCCGTTGTCTTCCGTGAATTTTCTTTTCCATCTCGTCTATTCTTGCCATTCCTGGGCCAAGAAACGCGCATGCGTCTTTCACCTGGGTAACGAAACTTGTTTCGCACAAACCGCATTTTGAACAGAGCTCTTTTGCTGGATATCGTTCTGGCCAGCCTTGGGGATCAATGGGTTTCACGTGGCTTTTTCGGATACGCTTAGCCCCCAGGGAAGAACCATATTCGTTCCTCTGGATCGGTTTTCGTGTTTTTGTCGTTCTTGTCGTCACGGGTGACGTGAAAAAGCACCCCACGAAAGAAAAGTTTGCTATCCTGCCGAGAAAGAATAAGAGGAAATATCGAGTCATCTTGTTGGCTGCTGACTCGATGTTCAGATAGAGCACATGTCAATTCTTCCGTACGAGTGCACACTGCCGATCAAGCATCTAGCAATGATTTACCGAGGCTAAAATTGCTCTTACAACTGAAACAGGCTCAGCAGATCCTTGACACAAAAGATTTCACTCCTCATTTCGTTCAACATGGTTCGTACGGTACCAGGTACTTGACCAGTACACAAAAAAAATTTAACTAATATTGCAACCCTGTAGGACACAGTACAAACTCTATGTAGATGAGACAAGGTGCACCAAGCATGCGCGGAGCACAAGAGTATCAGCGTGTTTGATGAGAAGTACTCACACGATCACGCACAAGGCAAATTCTATAGAAAAAAACCAAGGCGGGAGAGTAATTCTCGACAATCACGTCAAATCGACAGCAACGGACGCTTCTCCCTGTCAGCTAATAAGATGGTCCTCTTGTTGAGGATAGCAAAATACAGCACAATACTACAGTTACTACAGTTCACATATACACAGTACACTATATTTTTATGATTTTTCGATATAAGGGGGGACAAGTAGTAAGGAAAGAAGACACGAAACAAAGAACAAATAAGAAGCGTCGACGACGAGACGCGTCGATTGATTACTAAGAAGCAACAGCCGGTCCTCGGAGCAAGTGGTGTCCCCCGACTGCTTCATGGGGAGCCATGGCTCTAAGAATGAATGAAACGCGCTTGGAAGGGCCTCCATACACTGTATAGATCCTTCGAACAGCAACTTCAGAAGAACAACCAGCGCGGATTAGTCTCTCCATGCACTTCCAGAACTTCAATCGCCTGCAGTACTTGCTCTTTACACGACCTCTCTCAGCCGCAGTAAACTCCTTTGCAGGCTTATTGAGACCAACACCAACTTCCCATTCATTCCAGAGGACATAAAGATCATTAGGACACTTAGTCAGCTCAGCGTTGCCAGTCTCTGACGCGCCACTGTTCAACGCACGCGGACGAGGCCTCCGTCTTACGACTGGAGCCATAGCAGCTCGTTGAGATAACTCAATTGCTTTATTAAGCTTTTGGGTGAACTTAGCTTCAGCTGCAATCTTTCTATTCTTTATATCATTCACTTGATTGGCTGTGGCAAAGAGCTTGGAAAATATTGCATGATTCCACTGCAGCTGAGTACGTCGAATCCCAAGAGCAGTCCCTCCAGCAGCTCCAGGGGCTCCTCCGGCACCATTATTCAGCAGATCATCCGGATCTGCAAGCTCATGGAAGTGAACTTGCCCACCGATCTCATTCACAGTCAGCTCAACTTTCTTGATAGGATTCACATCAGCATCTAATCTTTGACCAACTGGGTGACTGTAATTGAGTTGAACCCAAGAAGCAACAACGTCATTCTTTACATCCTCTGGAATTAAGCCGGATGCGCGCAACGCCGGATCAAAGCAAGCCCAAAGCAATGCCTTTCCTAGGATTGCTCCCACTTGGTTACCAAACACATTTGAAATTGCTGGAGCTACTGAAGAAGCAAGCCATTCGTCGGTGATTCCTGTTCCTTGCAGGGGCTTGTAGTCACAAATCCCTCCAAAGCTAAGCTTAGCAGCAACATTAACATCAGGCCATGCAAGCTGGGTGTCGGTGTATCTATCCTGTTGCCTTTGAGACTTCCATCGAGCTCTATAATCAACCTCATCCCTTGTGCATCCACACTGTCTTGCAAAGGTGGTACCAAACTTCCGAATGGAATGAGTACCAAGCTTCCCTTCTGAAAGAGGTCTTTCAGGAACAAAGACAGGATTCTTAAACGCATGGCGCTTGATGAAATTAGAGTATGCAGCCTTTCCTTTATTAACCTCTTTGGCAACATCCTTTTGTGGAGATCTCCTATCTGTAGTTCCTTCCGTGAATAGCCATTGGCTTGCTGCTCCGTCGGTTTTGCACCACTTTTCAAGATACAAGGCAAGCCCCAGTACAACACACGATCGATGATCCATGGATCCAAGCAAGATTTGTTTGGGACAGTCCCTCTCTTCTCTCACATTCTTTGACCACTTCATCTTTGCTGTAAGGAATCTAGGAAATTCAGCAGATCTTTCTAAGCTGTCCTTTCCAACGTGTGCTGTATCATCATTCCGGCCAATCAGATGAAACTGAAACTTAATCATTGCCAGATATCGAAGTCTCTTAATTAAATGTCCATGGTTCCCCATTAGTTCAAGTGTTTGCATGAAMTCATCCTTCGTAAGAGGTCGATCCATCTTGCTGGCTTGTCCAAGTCCTCTGGTTTCCTTCTTGATAACAGCAGATATCAAATCATTCACTTGCTGGGACTTAGTAGGATTTCCACTGCCAACACCCCCAATAACAGTCCACTTCTGCAGCTTATTTGGCATGAAATAGGATAACGCCTTCTTGTAATAAACAAGGGTCGAACTCCTTCCCTCAGTAGGATTATCATCGACACCAGGATCCTCCCTACCAAAGACTTTCTTTGCAAAGAATTTGTAGATATGATCTGGTGTTAGAATACTCAACTGCTCATCCGTGAATAGAGTATCATTAGGAAACCGATGATCATTTTCAATAGGACCTCCTTCATCCACTCTTCCATGTACATGATCCATAAGCTCCAGTAGAATGCTATGGTATCTATTCCATTGCTCTGGCTGGTTCACGTCTCGTGGAGGCGTTACAGTGCCCCCCCTTCTTTTCCGAGCCCGCTGGGGCCGACCAGTGCGTTCTTGTGCTTGTGCTGTTACCATTAGTACTGCTGCTCTTTTGGGGTTTTGCTTGAACCGGTAGTCGTATGCAATACTTGTACTAGGCAATACTCGTAGTATGCGATACTCCTCGTATGCGATACTCGTATGCGATACTCGTAGTATGCGATACTCGTATGCGAGTGTTGCTGTTATTTTGTGAGCAAAAAATGCACCTCTCGTGAGTAAGGGGCGGGGGCTGTGCTGCTGTTTTTCGATACTCGCTGGTGCTGCTGTGCTGCTGTTTTTCGATACTTAGTAGTAGCTACAGTCGATAGTACTTACAGTATTTGGTTGTTGCTGTTCTTGCAGTTGCTTGGTTCTTGCTTGGGGTTTTGCTTGAACCGTATTCAAGGCTGCAAATTTTGTGTGCAAAATTTTGTGAGCAAAAATAATGCACCTCTCGTGACGAGGCAAAGGAGGAGTTGCAAAATTGTTGCATACTCAGTGTAATTTGCTCTGTGTTAGGCAACCAAAAGAGGTACGGATGCGACCACTGCAGAAAACTCAATACGGTTGCTGTGTAGAAATCCTACCACAAATCATGTAGCAGGTGTGAGTACAGTGGTAAGTGGAGTGGGATCAGTTGGGGTATTATAGCCTACGTAGAAATGTACGTATTTTAAGTACTGACCAACTCCTTCGACCGTTTTGCAATATCGGTTGCAAAAATTGGATACTTGTCGGGTACTACGAGGTTATGCCGGAGCTAAAAACATCAGAATACAATTCAAATTATGTACGGTACTCGTACCTTTCACAGGGCCTTAAGAATCTTAACTTCAGGGACGTGAGGTATTGACAATTTTACCTACGTGATCCATGTACTAGACCAGCAAGAGGAATCAACCTGATCGGCGCTGCTAAACAGAGGGTTGCTAGCTGTTTGAACAGTCCTGTCACCTTAAGATTTATAGTCATACTTAAGGGGGGGCTGGGAACTTTGAAAAAATTTCTGGTAGTGTAGCATATATTCTGGTAGCATTTGTCATGGTCGCAATCTGGTAGCATTTTTACTCCTATTAGTCGCAATCTGCTGGTAGCATTTCTAGTTACAATCTGGTAGCATGGTAATCATTATGGTATTATGGTAATGTTTCTGGTAACGGATATTTTTAGCAATAGTCTGAAATTTTTGTTGACAATGGTGGTGGTCCCAGGACTACTTTAAACTCCCACCAGGATTGCTTTCCATAGTTCACTCCRCCACATAAACAGCAGCAGCAGCAGCARCAACAACAACAAGTGTCCCYGGCAACCATAGCACCAGTAACAGTAACAGCAAAATGTTAGCAACTCGCAAAAGCAACAAAGCAAGGGTCTCCAGGGCCTTTGATGGCATTTTCATAATTCTATAATGATGGCAAGAGCTGGATCATCAGCGTCGAAGAAAGGCAGAAGACAGCAAGAGCAAAGCAAGAACCCTGAGCCGGTCTACAACAAACTAGAACTATCAAAAAAGATTGCTTGTTTCAACTTCTGGTCTCATTTGCGAACTCAAGGGACAACAGGTTGGGATCCAAATAACAAGCCATCATTGGTCTTCAATTACAGAAGTTCTGATTGCATTTGAGCAAACATCAAGGAATCAAGTTGGCCCAAGATTGGGAAGGTACTTTGCCGGTACGTCGTTTGCTGACTTGTTGTTGTTTGTGTGGTGTAGACTCATCTATTTTTCCACCAGAGCATGGCAACACTTGCTATTGATCTACAGAACCAAGGATTCAGACTAGTGGACCCATACAAGGAAGTTCAAGAAAAGCTTGCAGCAATAGCGAAGAAGGAGGAGGAAAAGGAACCACCATACTAAGAAGAAGAAGAAGAAGAAGAAGAAGACGACGACGAGGAGCAAGAAGAGGAGACAGAACAAATGCCATGCAACAACATCAATGATGATGAGCTTTCAGCTCTTGTTGAAAGCAGCCTCAACTTAAACTGCTGCCAATGCCAGCAGGAACAAGTCCAGTGGGTTAGTGGATCTCTCTCCTACCCAATTCTTTCCGGAAGATGGGAAATATTTGACCATGATACAGACACAAGCAATGCACTTTGCTTGGTTAGAATGCTCATCCATACTGGTGCCCAGGAATCAGACTTCAGCCTAAATTGGATAAACAAGAGGATGTTCAGAGTGGCATACAAGTGGCCCAGCTTCATGCAGCGATGTATGATGCAGACTGACTTGGATATGTCGACAGCCAAGGATGGATCAGTGTTCCAAACTTTCCCTTCAGGCCACACGTTGTACACAAGCATGGGGAAGACAGCAAAGAAGCTCAAAGACGATGGGTTCAAGAATGATATGGACACGTCCATCTATGTTGCTGAGTTCCTAAGGATCACAATCCAGG